GAAGGCATTCGCGACGTGTGTCCCTTGCTGCGCCCTGCCGCTCCCTCTGCTTACGTGCCCTAGTCACGAGCCTACTTCCATTCTCACTTCTCACCCACCTCGACTCTCCTCGAGGACGAGGGCGTGGACGATGTTGCGTGAATGGACATTCTGCGACTGCGTTGCACGAGAATTACGACTTGGATAAATAAATAGTCCCACCTGCGTCGTACTCAGTTCTCGGCTGCGGAGCTCGAGGCTTGCATTCAGCATTTTCAGGTGACAGAGAGGGCACTAGAAATATTGCCACTCTGGAACATTCGAGACGCCTGCAGTGATTGGCCAAGAAAATGATTGTGCAATTTGTTTTGACCATTCACAGCGTGTAATCTAAAGGGCAGGGAGACGGGAAGACAGTGTCAGGCCGTCTAAGCGGATCGCGAAGTGAGAGGGCGTTTATCTCGTATGCGATTGTTTAGTAAAGTGATCTTGCAACTTGTGAGAAGATCGTTTCAGTAGAGCGAAGCCCGGGGCGCGATGGAACGTCTGAGTGTATTAACGGACATGATGAAGTTGAAATGCTAAGTGCGTTACTTGTGATCTGGCACCCAGTACTGTTAATTTCGATAGCTAGATTCATTATCTCGCATCACTGTTAAGTTATGACTTGTTCATTCCCGAAGTTCCGTGAATTATTCAGATCCTGCCGCACTCATTTGAGGACAATGCAGAAGAGTGAGTTAATGATAATTGGCGTAACTTGTGATGTAGTAGGTGGAAGTGGACTTCTGAGACGATATTTGTGGAGACGATACCTGACTAGCATCAATTTCCATTGACGGGTCAATAGAAGACCGGTGACTGGTCAGGTTTTTTACTAGATTCCTTGTACATTCCTTGTATCACATTTTCACATGCACAATGTATCTTCAGGGAAGTCTACAGGGTGATTCTGTCCTCGCTGATAATACGTCGGAGCCATATCTATATGTAACGTACAGGCTGGCTGTGCCAAAATTCGATTCTGTTAATCGTTTAGTTTAGTAAATAATTTACTTTAAACTTTGGACTATGCCCTTATGCTCGTGCAACACAGGCTATGGTAAGTGCGTGAGCGGCTTCACCACTTCTCTGAAAAACTACGTTATTAATACTATCATGTAAGCCTCGGAAGCGATCGCAAGGGAAATAGAGCGCACGTTTCACAGTCCGTTACCTGGCGAGCAATTCATGCAGAGAAATTACGACCTTTCCATTTCCAGAGGGTGAAGCATTTGTGCAGTAGTCTTACAACGTCGTTCTAAATTCGAGGCATTTCTTGTGCAGATGAAAGGAAAACCAGGAATATCTGAAACCGTTTTTGGATAATGATGCGTGTTTTAAAAGAACTGGGACAATTAATTTGCATTTGTGGGTCGAGGAAAATTCACATGTTTCACGTAGCATTCCCCAACAGTGATGATCTATAATTGTGTGGGTTGGCATTGTGGATGAATTTAACATTGGTTCTCACTTCTTACCCGAGTGTTTGAGAGGTGTTCTTAGAGAGGTGTTCAGATCCTGAATTTTATAACTCAGGTTCTCCTTATGCTTTTGGAGGATGAATGTGCAGTGACATGTCCGTCTCTAGCATGATAGCACAGCCCCATATAATTCTCGCGAAGATCGAGAATACAGAGATATGAAATTTTCAGACAGGTAGTTCGAGAGTGGAGGCCTAATAGCATTGTCGCCTCGATCTCCTGATTTGAATACTGAATTTTTGGTCGGGGTTAACGAAAGACAGCGTTTTTGCTGCCGAAGTCGTGGATCGTGATGGCTATCTTCGGCACATTTACAGCGCGGCTGCAGAAATATAGAGTCAACAGGAGTTGTGCGCGTTACAGAAGTCGTGTGGCCCAAATGCTTATCTTGCATTCACGCAAAAGCAGGCCATTTTGAACCCTTGTAGAGCCCGTTATAAGAGATGAAAATACGACATTTTTCCTGTAGTCGTAAATAATAATAATAAAGTATCATAAATAACTATTAATAAACGTGTCTCTCTCTTTTCATATTCATTAGATACGTAGGTAATAATAGCATCAGGGAGCAACATTTAAAGTAATATTCGGGCTACCTTTATGCAAAAAATGTCCAATGACAACACCTTTTTCTTCATAATTTTGAATAGGATTCACACTATTTTCTTTTGCACACATGAATAATTTAGTGTATTCTATCACACGGCCCTGTAGGCGACCCCTCACAATTGAAGTCCGCTACTAGCAGTACGTTGTGTTTGGCAACTTGCTGTTACCCTCGAGGACTTAT